TTTTTTAAAAGGTAGTTTGGTGATAGTCTTTTTTGGTTTCCCATCCTATATCGGGTTTCGTTCGATTAATCTAGACTCGACTCGCGTCATCCACCTAAAAAATAATGTGTGAGTCTTTTATCGAGTGCTACTACACACACAAGGTTCAAACTCAAAAATTTGATTAAGTTGTAACAAACCACTTACCAATTGATACAAACCCTCGTTGGTTAGTTTGGTGATAGTTTTTTTTGGTTTCCCACCCTATATCGGGTTTCGTACCGATTAATCTAAACCCGACTCGTGTCATGCACCTAATTGAGTCTCTCATCGAGTGCTACTACACACAAGGTTCAAACTCAAAAATTTGATTAAGTTGAAACAAACCACTTACCAATTGATACGACCCTCGTTGGTTAGTTCGGTGATAGTAGTGAAAGATAAACTTGATGAGAAAGGAGGAAGGATTCATCGGAGTTGCCTAGCTTTGTTTTCAGTCAGTTAAGGTATCGTGAATAAATTCGGTAACCCAAAAGGCAGGCGATGGAAAACGCCGGCAATTCTGATCGTCCTAATCATCATTGGCGTCGTCTTCTTCCTCTGCTGTCGCTCTTTCTGCTTCTTGGCCTCACGAACTCATCATCACTGCCACAGGAAGACCCATCGTCCACCATAACACGATTCCAAGAGTACCTCCAAATCAACACAGCTCAACCGAATCCAGACTACAAAAAGTCCACCGATTTTATCGTCTCCCAAGCCAAATCCATCTCTTTAGAATCCCAGACCCATGAATTCGTCGAGGGCAAACCAGTCGTCCTCCTCAAATGGCCTGGTTCCGACCCCAGCCTCCCCTCCATCCTTCTCAACTCCCACACTGATGTGGTCCCTTCCGAGCACTCGAAGTGGAATCACCATCCCTTCTCGGCTCACATCGATGGGCAGGGTAACATATATGCTAGAGGCTCCCAGGATATGAAGTGCGTTGGATTGCAGTATCTGGAGGCCATTCGTAAGTTGAAGTCTTCTGGGTTCGAGCCTAAACGGTCTGTTTACTTGTCTTTTGTCCCTGATGAGGAGATTGGTGGCCATACTGGCGCTGAGAAGCTAGCTGAGTCTGATGTCTTCAAGAATATGAATGTTGGAGTAGTGCTTGATGAAGGTAATTTATTTACTTCCTTTGAATTTATACTTGTTATCTGTACAAATTCATACGTTGAAAAATTTGCTAGTTGTAAGCGATTGATGCACATAGTGGGTTTCTTTTATTTATACTAGTTTTACTATTTACAGTATGAAACACATATAGTTTACAAGTAAATGGGACAACTTTATTAGTTCAACACTGTTCATCCATCAGTGCAATGGATTATTGGATTTAATTATATATTATTCATTCATGGGATAGTTATTGTAACTTGTGATATTTACCATAACTATGTTTTTGTGAATCAGGTTTGGCTTCACCAACTGAGAATTACAGGCTCTTCTTTGGGGAGAGGAGTCCATGGTGGCTGGTGATAAAGGCTACTGGAGCTCCAGGGCATGGGGCGAAGCTCTATGACAACAGTGCACTGGAGAACCTTTTCAAGAGCATTGAGAGTATCAGAAGGTTCAGGGCTTCCCAGTTTGACTTGATCAAGGCTGGTTTGAAGGCTGAAGGAGAAGTCATTTCAGTTAATATGGCCTTTCTGAAGGCTGGCACTCCCTCTCCAACTGTGAGGTTTTTCTTTCAAGGATTATTTATTTTAAGCTTGGTTTCTTATTTAATTGACTAAATTTGAATTCACATATTTTCTAACTGACTGCTTGCACGTCAGTGGTTTTTCATGAACAATGATGATTGAGATCCATATCGTGATTAAAGATAGCTATAACCTGTTAAGTGTTCTGTAATGAATACCATTTCCTTTTGCATGGTCTCTGGTTGGAACTCATTCCGTGGGCTTATTGATTTTAGTTGATTTTGGTTTATGCAAAAGGTTATTCAAAGAAACTGATACTGTTGTAATCTTCTTTCTTTCACAAATTCTGAGGAAATATTATAAATTTATAATTAAAGAAGGCATGGTGAATGACTTGTAGGCTGGAGGAATTACAGCATAATCCTTGTCAGAGGTGCATTGGTTCTATGTGTTACGAACATTGATGGGAACATATCAATTTGGAGTGCTTATTCTTGGTCATTAGGTGCTAGGAAATAATGTGCTTATTTTGATAGATACAACATTCTTGCACATGGATTGATAAAAATAACTGGTAATATGTGTAAACCCCTTTGAGACAGTCAAATCATTTTAAAATCTAATTTTCTAGGGACATAAGCTCAACAATTTATGCAGAAAAAGCAAGTTGGCAATTGTTCAATGGTTAGAAGCTATCATTAATCAGTGTTAATGCATAAATTGATATGTTATCTGTCAATGCAGTGACTAAAGATGGTGTATTCAATGTGAAGGCGAAAGCTATTTAGATTTTTTGTTAAATTATCCTAATATAATGTTAATTAGACCGTTTTGGGACCCTCATCTACTCTCTAACAAATTTGAGTTATGTAGAGATCTGACTGACTCTAACTTGCATATCTTTTTTCTTTGATAATTCTCCAGGGTTTTGTCATGAATTTGCAGCCATCTGAGGCAGCAGCAGGTTTTGATATCCGAGTTCCACCATCTGCTGATCCTCAATCTTTAGAGAAACGGATAGCCGAGGAATGGGCTCCTGCATCACGGAACATGACATTTGAGGTAGAGTCAACCACAAACACTTACCTTTCTGACAGAAGTAGTTAATGACCTTTCAGTGGAAAGAGGAGCAACTTCTTACAGTTTGTTGTTTTATTCTTTTCTACTCTTTCTGTAGAAAACTAAAAATTTTAAATTATAAAAGAGTGAAGGAAAATGTGGAGCATCCTTGAACTTGTACATTCAAGGCCTTTCTTTTTGGGCCAGGAAATGCAACAATTCTAAGCATTCTGTTTAACTACGTCTGGTGCATTCTAAGGGTGATAATGTGTGATGAAATCACCAAAGCTGGGGATTGCAACACTAGCTACCTGCACACAGGAGTTGCATGACTGTGATCCTTACCCTATGCAATTATAGTTCATAAGACCAAATGGTAGAAATAGCACAAATGTAAGGCTTGTAGGAGTCATTTTTTTAAGCACTTCTTTGGTTGCTATTTGTATCTAGCTTGGTTGGCCTAAGTGTGAAGACTGACTAGGGAGCCTCTGCCTGCTGTTGCTTGCAACTTTTGTTTGAGACATTGAATCTCTTGGTCCTCCTTTTCTTTTTCTTTAGTTCTCCTTCTTCTTTTTTTTTTTTTTGGTGGTAACTTTTAATCTTCAATTGAGCTGATTACGTTTCTAGCTTGGGCAGTTTAAGCAAAAGGTTTCTGTGTATGATGACTCGGGAAGGCCACTCCTTACAGCACCAGATAGTTCCAATCCCTGGTGGGCTTTGTTAGAAGAAGCTATCAGGAAAGCTGGTGGAAAGATTGGGAAACCTGAGATTTTTCCTGCATCAACTGATGCTCGTTATTTCAGATTGCTGGGCTTGCCAGCGATTGGCTTCTCACCTATGGTGAACACTCCTATCCTACTTCATGACCATAATGAGGTAAAAGAGCACATATAATTATATTTTTCCATATGATTAGTGAATGTTACGAATAGTCTAAACCTTAGGTACTATCAATTGCCTTAGTTCTTCATTAGCATATTCCAGATGACAATTGGAGTTATTATTCTTTGGCAAGATGGATACGACAGCTAAGTTCAAGCTTTTGCCGATCAAATACATATAAAAATTATTCTTTGCATAATGGAGATGATAAATTTCATTTAAACAGTGTTTTAAGTGATTGAATTATTATCAAGGTATCCGACAATTATATTTCCCACCTTTTTGCAGTTTCTAAACCAAGCAGAGTACCTGAAAGGAATTGACATTTACGAGTCAATAATTAAAGCGTATGCTTCCTATATTCCACAAGGAAGAGCTAATGTTTCAAAAGATGAGTTGTAGAGGAAACATGGTGGATTCTTCATTTCGAAGAGAGAAAAGACAATTCAATAAGGATAAAGGCAGTCAAGAGTGCGTTTTGTGCCAGTAGACTATAAATATGGTATGCAAGGTGTGTTTCTTACTCTACATGCTAAAGACCAGTTCATCACGCTACTAGATAAATGTTGCATCAGATAAACTTGCTTGCAATGCATTTCATTTTTCTTTTGATACTAAACAAATTTTTAGTTTCAAATAACAGAACAATGGTTCTGTCATGAAATCAAACACATTATTAGTCAAACTATGTATATCTTCATGTCTGATATTTTCATGAGTCACCACATTGTGGTTGGTCCATACCCACCACATTATGGTTGGCCATATCCAGGATCCACAGCAGCAGTTTCAGAAATACGAGTAAACGTGAATTCATATAGAGCAACAAAGCATTTCTTTTGGTTACAATCTTGTTTATTTGTTGGTTAAATGCTAAATTTGGTCCCTCAACTTTAGTGGGTTGCACATTTTTGATCCCTCAACAATTTTTTGCATTTTTTTGATCCTTCAACTCTAAGAAATGCACAACATTTGTTCTTCTGTCAATTTGAGCCGTTAACTCGGCCACATGGCATTTTTTATTATTTTTTTGATGACATGGCAAGGACAACTTTAAAACGTGCTGATATGAAATTTTTTTTATGACATGTCATCTTCTTCCTGCACCAAAGACCCTTCAATGGCTTTTACGTTGCTTGCAAACCACCAATAAGATCTGTGAACCCTAGAATGGTCTCTTACCTTCACTCTTTGCAAAATCAATCTCTCTCTGCAAAATCAATCTAACTCGAGTTGGGTTGCCTCTACTGCTAGTGGGGTTGCCTCTACTGCTAGTGGGGTGAGTCTTTACAAAATAATATATCTATGAACTAGAGAATTTGAAATTCTTTGTCATTGAACCCACTACTGGGTTTCATTGTAGCCTCAAACCTAGCAGATGTTATCAAATCAAATTAACTTTTCAATAAATAATATCAATCAAACTCTAATCAAATTCCAATAAAAAATGCAATCAAATTGTAAATCGACGATCCGAGAACAATTACCCGAACTAGATTTGTGAGTGATTATAGATTCTTCGTGGGTAGAATGGAAAGAATTAGGAGATGAAGGGCTCACGGGTAATGAATGGGAAGATTGAAAAATTGGAAGAAGAAAGGATTTTTTGGTTAGATGCATGGTATTGGCTAAGCATGTTAGGTTCTTGAAACCCAGATCTGCTGGGTTCCAACCGAACCTAGCAGCTGGGGTTCGTCAAAACCAAGCAGTTGGGTTTCATCTGCTGGGTTCCGATGAACCCAGCTTTCCACCAACCTAGGGTGGGAAAGAAAGAAAGAGAAAGAAAGAAGGGGAAGAAGAGGGATTGGGAAGGTGAGGAAGGCTGGGTTTCGTTTGTTGGGTTCATAGGAAAGAAAGAAAGAGAAAGAAAGAAGGAAGGGGAAGAAGAGGGCTTGGGAGTGTAAGGGTAATAAGGTAATTGTATTTGTTTTTAATTAAAATATAATTATTAAATTATGTGGCATTTTTATTTATTTATATAATATAATTATAATATATATTGTTGCCACATCATCAAAAAAATTAAAAGATAATGCCACGTGAAATTATTTAACTGCCACATCACACTTAACTGACAGAAGGATCAAAACTGTGCAATTTTTAAAGTTAAATGATCAAAAAAGTGCAAAAAATTGTTGAGGGACCAAAAATGTGCATTTCATAAAGTTGAGGGATTAAATTTAGCATTCAACCTTATTTGTTCAAGTTACAGGGCTTTTAGGCCTGAATTGATCATTACAACCTGACTTTGCAGTTTTACACTCGTTTCTCTCCTCTTGAAGCAGCAAAGCCCATTATTGATTTGACTGGAATGTTTCCAGTACTCCAAAGGAAGCATATTTGAATTCAAAAAACTAGACCGGTGGACAAAATAAACTTGAATTTGCAAATAAAAAACTGTTGCATAGTCTCAATTGAACAAGAGTGACAGTTGGACATGAGAGAGGAGACTCCACAATGGTGACTGTTGAATAAGAATGGGTCTTCTGATATTGAAAGCATATTCTTCCATTTAATCATTCTTATTTTGCAATTTCATAAAATTTAAATCACAAAACAGGGAACTAATCTGCAAAAAAAAAAAAAAAAAAAAAAAAAAAAATCAGAAAAATGAATTTGTGGACAAAATCTTGATCACAAGATTGTTCATCTATACTGTGAATTAGGGACGAATCTTGCTAGGTGATATATTTATAGCTGGAAAATAACCCACAGCTATTAGTAATCTATATAATCTGATACGGTAAGGATCCAACGAACCTTTCAATCCTTTTCTACCAATGGTTACAGCAGGGCAAACCTCATCCTTACAACGATAGTAATGAATAGGTAAAATTTAATAAATAATTTATTAATTATGTGATTTATTTTA